CTACAGCAATCAGACAGAAAATGGAATCAAAGGTATCCAAATAGGGGCAGAAGAGATCAAACTTTCACTGTTTGACTGATGATATGATATTGTATCTAGAAACCCAAGGATTCACAAGAAACTCTGGAACTGAGTCAATGAATTTAGTAAAGTCTCAGGATACAAAATTAATACACAGAAATCAGAGGCATTCATATACGGCCAACAACAATCTAATTGAGAACCAAATCAAAGACTCATTCCCCTTCACAATGCAACAAAGAAATTAAAAGATTACTAGGAAATATATTTAACCAAAGAGGTAAAAGACCTCTACAGGAGAACGTATGAAACCTGAGGAAGGAAATAGCAGCGAGGATGTAAACAGATGGAAATCATACATGCTCGTAGGATCGGCAGACTCAATATCATCAAAATGTCTATACTACCCAAACTGATCTACAGATTCAATGCAATAACCTATTAAAATCCATCAGCATTCTTCACAGATATAGAAAAAATAATTTTTACGCTTCGTATGGAACCAAAGAAGACCCCGAATATCAAGAGGCATTCTAGGCACAAAAAACAAAATGGGAGGCATTAATATGCCAGATATCAAACTATACTACAAAGCTGTAGTAATTAAAACAATATGGTATTGGCACAAAAACAGGAATATTGACCAGTGGAACAGATGTGAGAATCCTGATATAAACCATCCTCATATAGCCATTCATCTTTGACCAAAGCAGACAAAACATACGCTGGGAAAAGAATCCCTCTTCAATAAATGGTGCTGGGAAAACTGGATAGCCACCTGTAGAAGGCTAAAACAGGACCCACACCTTTCACCTCTCCAAAAAACAACTCACGCTGGATAACAGACTTAAACCTAAGATATGAAACTATTAGAACTCTAGAGGAAAAAGTTGGAAACACTCTCCTAGACATCGGCCTGGCAAAGAGTTTATGAAGAAGTCCCCAAAGGCAATCACAGCAGCAACAAATAAATACAAATGGGACATGATCAAACTACAAAGCTTCTGCACAGCCAAAGAGATAGTGCATGAAAGTAACAGACAACCTACAGAATCCGGAGAAAATTTTTGCATCCTATGCATCCGATAAGGGGAGCTGATAACTAGAATATACTTAGAACTCACGAAAATTACGAAGAAAAAATCAATAACCCATTAAAAAGTGGGCAAGGACTTGAACGAAATTTTTCTAAAAGCAGACAGAAGAATGGCCAACAAACATATGAAGAAATGCTCAACATCTCTATCATCAGGGAAATGCAATCAAAACCACAATGAGATATCACTTAACCCAGTGAGAATGGCCTTTATCAAAAAATCTCCAAACATAAATGCTGGCGTGGGTTGCGGAGAGAGAGGAACACTCCTACACTGCTGGTGGGACTGCAAACTAGTTCAACCTCTGTGGAAGCAATATGGAGATACCTTAAAGCGATACAAGTGAATCTACCATTTGATCCAGCAATCCCATTGCTGGGCATCTACCCAAATGATCCAGTGACACTCTACAAAAAGACACTCGCACTCGAATGTTTATAGCAGCACAATTCATAATTGCGAAGGCTGTGGAACAGCCCAAGTGCCCATCAACTCAAAGAATGGATTAATAAAATGTGGTATATGTACACCATGGAGTACTATTCAGCTCTAAGGAAACAAATGGTGATATAGCACCCTTATATTTTCCTGGTTTAGAGCTGGAACCCATACTACTAAGTGAGTATCCAAGAATGGAAAAACAAGCACCAGATATATTCTCCAGCAAACTGGTATTAACTGAGTAGCACCTAAGTGGACCCATAGGTGCTACAGTAATAGGTATTGGGCAGGTGGGAGGGGGGAGGGGGCGGGTATATACATACATAGTGAGTGAGATGTGCACCATCTGGGGGATGGTCATGATGGAGACTCAGACTTTTGGGGGGAGGGGGGGAAATGGGCATTTATTGAAACCTTAAAATCTGTACCCCCATAATATGCCAAAATAAAATATAATTAAAAAAAAAATGAATGTATATGAAGTCTATTCCTTGTGTCTTTTGTTTACATCCATTGTCATTTTTTTAAGTACAGAAGATAGAATGAACTTTCATGAGTATTAAATATTATCTAGGCATGAACACATCTAATGGGATGGAGATTTATGATCACTGACCAAATTAACTTCCATCATGTCCACTCTGGTGGCAACCTGTAGACCAATTTTAAAACCAGATGCTCATTTGTTTCATTTCTTGGAGGAAGTCATATTAGAATTTGATGTCTTTGACATCATTCATGTCTTTCTTCAAGGACAGTGAAAATGCCACAGAAAAAGTGAGTACTATTTGGCACAAGACCAGAACAGAAATGAAACGTTACAGATATACTAAAGTGTCCAAAGAAGTATTGCAGAAGCAGGTTTCCAGAGTAGACGAACAAGACTTTTAAGGAAAAGGAAAGACTCCTCTTTCCTCATCTAACAGCCCTGACAACTCATTAAGAACATATGATCTAGTGGAGTTTTTACCTCATATCTGTTCTATTTCAGAACTACCCAGTGGTGTTTATCATATTTTCTTCTATTGCTGTTCTATTTGTCCTTTGTTCTTTTTTTTTCTCCTTATTTTCTTCTTTGAATAAAGAATCAGGCTGAGTATGGTAGCTCATGTTTGTAATCCCACCAATTTCAAAGGTCCAGGCAGAAGGATCGCTTGAAGTCAGGAATTTCAGAACAGGACATCTCTCCAAAAACCAAAAAAAAAAAAAAAAAAAAAAACCAAACTAGCCAGGTGTGGTGGCATGTGTCTGCAGTGCCTCTGCTCCTCCCTACTCCACAGGCTGAGGTGAGAGAATCACTTGAAGTCACGTGTTCAAGGCTGCAATGAGCTATGATCACACCACTGCACTCCAGCCTGGGCTATATATATTTTTTCTTGTTTTTAAAATTTGAAGTAAATTTAAATAAGTTAGCAAGGAAAAAGTTTCAAGGACATTAATAGCTATTAGACTATAATAAACAAGTTAATTTGAAAATTTATGTATTTCACACATATTATTTCATGTAATTTTTATAGCAGCTTTAGGAGGGAGAATGAGGGAGTTATAGTTCAGAGAGATGAAGTGATCAATAAACAGAGAAACTGGATGGGACCCAAGTCTGTGTGATTCTAAAGCTCAGGCATTACAGCTCCACCATTTTTTCCCAAGGGCATTAAATTATCAGACATTTAGGTTCTCATCAAATAGATTGACACAAGATACAAAGTAGGAGATATTTAAACAATTAGTATAACAGTAAGTCCTAACTTTAAAGTCTGGTAGAGAAGAGAAAGTTACCTGCTCCTTACTAGGTCTCTAACACTGGACAAATGACTAAATATCTATAGACCAGAATATTAAAATTAAAGTCACCACAGTGCCATATGCTAAAATGAAATTTCAGACCATAGTGCACATTTTCAAAGGAAAGTACTCAATGAGAGACATTGTAGAGTGACAAATGGGTCAATCCATTGAGAAGATAGAACACTTAGAAATATATATGCACCTAACAGAGTTTCAAAATATACAAAGCAAAAATGATAGAACTGAACAGAGAAATAGTTTATATTATTTGGAGACTTCAATATCTCACTTTTAATGAGGGATAAAACAACTAGAGAGATCAACAAGCAAATAGAAGACTTGAACAAGACTATAAAATAATTGTAGCCAAAAGACATCTGTGGAACACTATACCCCAAAACAGCAGATACTTTTCAAGTACACATAGAACATTCTCCAGGGTAGAACCATATGTTAGGCCATTAAAAAAAAAAAAAAAACCTTAATAAATGTGAAAGGATTGAAACTATATAAAGTATGTTAGAAATCAATGACAGAAGAAAAAGTGGGAAAATGGCAGAATCACAAGTATGTGGAAATTACATAACACATTCCTACATAACTGATGCAGCAAAGACGAAATCACTAGAGAAATCAGAAAATACTAAGATGAATGAAAATGAAAACACAATATAACAAAACATATGAGATGTAGTGAAAGTAGTGCTCAGAGAGAAATTTATAGTTGTCAATGCTTATAGTATAAAAAAGAAATGATTCCAAAAATAACCTATGCTTCCACCATAAGACACTGGGAGAAGTACAAAAAATCTAAAGCAAATAGAAGAAAATATAATAATAATTAAAATAAAAATTAATAAAAGAGAGAATAGAAAAACAACAGGAAAAATCAGTAAAGCAAAAGTTATTTCTTTGAAATGATCAATAAAAATTGACAAACTTTAGTCTAACTGATGAGAATAAGAGCACTGGGGCTAAGGGACCCCATTTCTGAGGCCGTGGGGGAAGAGCAGGTGAAGGAACACTGCCTGAGCAAGAGCCGGAGATAAGAGCAGAAGGTAATTGCCTAGTTGGGAGACATTCCAGAGATCTGAGAGTACAGCAAAGCAGACTCCCACCTTAAAGCCTAAGGGGCCTCATGCGTAAAAAACCATGGAGCGGCCTGACATGAAAGCCACCCACGGCTGTAGAGGAAGATTGCAAAATGTCAGCTGGGAGAAGGAACGCCAGGCTCCAATTCTTAAAGAACACCAGGTTGAGTTCCTTCCCTCCCCTTTCTCAGTAGAATGCCTCAAATAATGGGGAGCTAACCTCCCAATAAGGAGTACTGATATCTTTGTTCCTCAATTGAATGGGCCACAGATGCTGAGTTCAGAGATATTATCTGTACATACCTTAAGGCATGGTTGTGCTTAGTCAGGAGCTATGTGTTCCTGCTTCTATAGATAGAAGAATAGTTAGCTAAGACATCTTGTGACTATTAGGGGAGACTTGAAACTTCTACACATTGTAACCCACGAGGTTTTCACATGAAATCATTGTAATCTATAGCATGAAAAAGAGAATAAAAATGCGTACTAGATTTCAGTCAGTACCACCTGGCTCACGGGAATGCTGGTGATGCCCTGACTTCCCCACATCCTTTCACCTTACTTTTGTGTCTGTGTCTTTGTCTCTCCCTTCTCTTGCAGCGCACACTGCCCAGGGACCGGGTTACATTGGGGGCGTCATGAACCCCCAATATCTAACCAAGAAAAAAAGAGAGAGGATTATTAATATCATGAATGAAAGAATAAAATTATCATCAATCTTACAGAAATAAAAAGCAATGTTAGGGAATACTATAAAAAACTGTATGCCAATGAATGAGAGAACTCAGATGAAATGGACAGATTCTTATGAAGGTACAAGCTATCAAAAACAATTCATGAAAAAATAGAAAATGTGACTTGACCTATAACAAGTAAGAAGATTGAATTAGTAATTTCAATGATTTTTTCATAAAGAAAATCCCAGGCTCAGATGGCTTCACTCATGAATTCTACCAAAGTTTTCCAGAACAATTCATATGAATCTTTCAGAGACTTCCACAAAAATAGAAGAGGAAGGAATACTTCCACATTACTTCTATGAGATCAGTATTATCATGATAAAAAAAAAATCTAGACAAAGACATAACAAAAAAGAAAACCACTGACCAATATGTTTATGACTATATATGCCAAAATCCTGATCAAAATACCAGCAAACTGAATTCAGCAACATATAAAATAAATTATATCCTATAATGAAGTGACATTTATCCTAGAAATGCAAGGTTATTTAATATATGAAAGTCAATTAATATGATATACTGCATTCACAGAATAAAGGAAAAGAAACATGATCATTTCCATAGAACTGAAAAAGCATTTGACAAAATCCAACATTCTTTTATCATTAAAACACTCAACAAACTTGGAATAAAAGGGAACTTTCTTAATCAGATAAAGAACATTAATAAAAAATACATATGTAGCATCATTCATACTGATGAAACCCTGTATGCTTTCTTCCTAAGATCAGGAACAAGGCCAGGCTCTCTGCTCTCATTACTTCTGTTCAGTATTGTGCTACATGTTTGAGCTAGGGCAATTAGGCAAATAGAAACAGCATCCAGGTAGGAAAATAAATAAACTGGGAAAACTATTTCTATTTGTCAATGACATGATCTTAAATATAAAAAATCCTTAAGAATGCACAAAAAACTATTAGAAATAATAAAAGAGTTCTGAAAGTTTGAAGAATGAAAGATCAATACACAAAATTCATTTGTACTTCTATATACTGGAAATGAACAACCAGAATATGAAATTAAGAAAATAATTATCTATGTAATAAAACCATAAAAAAATTAAAATACTTGAGGATAAATTTAACAAAAAGTGCAAAATGTATGCTCTGAAAACTTTAAAACATTGTTGAAAGAAATAAAAGAAGGGCCTAAATAAATGAAAATACATTCTTTGTTCCTGGATCAGAAGAATTAACATGAATAAGACGGCAATATTCCCCAAATTGGTGTACATATGCACACATTCAATGAATCCCTATCAATATTCTAGCTTTGCTTCTTGCATAAATGTCTATCCATCCCTAAAATTCATGTGGAAATAAATAGCCAAGCAATCTTGTAAAAAGAAAAACAAAGTTATAAGACTCATACTTCCATATTTGTAAACTTACTGCAGAGTTATAGCAATCAAGACAGGATGGCATTGGCCTAAGTACAGGCATGTAGATTAATGGCATAGGATCAAGGGTCCAGTAACAAACTTTTATATTTATGATCAAATTATTTTATACAAGGGTGCCACAACAATTCATAATGGCAAAGAATAGTTTTTTCAACAAATGGTGGTTGAATAACTAGATATCCATATGTAAAAGAATGAAGTTGGACTTAAATCATACACATAAAAGTATAAATCATAGATCTAAATATGAGCTAAAAGTATAAAACCCTTAAAAGTTTCATTCTAAGTAACCATAGGTTCTTGTGAACTTGGGTTAGGAAAAACCTTATATATGACACCAAAAGCACAAACAACAGAAGAAAAAAATAGGCAGATTAGACGTTATCAAAATTAAAACTTTAGTGCTTCAAACATTCCATCAAAAAAGTAAAAAGACAGAACACATAATGGGATAAAATATTTATAAATTATCTATCTGATAATAGATTTGTATCTAGAATATATTAACATAAAAATCCCTACAAGTAAATGATAAAAAGATAAAGAACAAAATTTAAAATGGGCAAAGAATCAGCCTAGATATTTCTTCAAAGAAGATATATGATTGTTCAATAAATAAATGAAAAGATGTTCAATATCATTAGGTAACAAGGAAATGCAAACCAAAACCTCAATGGGATACAATTTCACACCTTCTGTGGTAACTATTTTATTATAGCCTTTTTTTTTTTTTAATTAAAGACAAACAGGAACAAGTGTTAACAGAGAAATTGAAACCTTCATACACCGCTGGTTGGGAAGTAAAATGAAATAGCTTTTTTCAAAAACACTTTAGCAGTTCCTCAAAATATTAAACATAAGAGTTACCACATGTCCCAGAAATTCCTTCCTATGCATATTCCCAGGAGAAGTGAAGCCCACACAAAAACTTATACATGACTGTTCATAGCAGCATTTTTTACTGTAGATAAAAAGTGAAACAACTCAATGTCCATGAACTGATGAATGGATACATAAATTTGGTATACTCACACAATGTAATATTATTTGTAATATAAAGGAATGAAGTAATCTATATAATATTATGTAATGTAACATAGTACTACAAAATGGATGAACCTTGAAGACATTATACTAATTGAAAAGATCCAATTACAGAAGACAACATACCACGTGACTTCATTTACATGAAACTTTCAGAATAAGCAAATAGACAGAGGAAGGCATAGATTGGAGGTTATCTAGGTCTCGGGCTATTGGAATGAACAGGGAGAGGCTGCTAACATAGGATTTCTTTTAGCGTAATGTACTACTTTTAAAATTGAGTAATGATGGTTGGACTACTCTGTATATACTAAAAACCATTGAAGTATGTACTTGAAAAAGACAGATATTAAAAATCCCTCTTACGTGGCAGGTAGTTGCTTATCGACATTAAGTGTATAAAGAATTCCAGAGCTAGAGATTGGGGAAATATTCTTTGTAGAGAATTAAACTGCAAGCTTCAACATCCTCAATTAGAAGACAGTGGCTTTAAAGTGACCTATCTGAGGTCCTATTAACATTTATCTCCTGGACTTTGTGGGATGCAGTGGGCTAGTGTCTACAAGTCTGATTAATTTGAAGGACAAATGACTGCCTGACTATCACTCCAAGGAGCTTGCTGCTTTATCTAGCTATCTAAATTCCCAGAGTTTGTTCAGGGCAAAGGATACATGTATATTTCCAATGGATCAGAGGTTAAACATGAAGATCCAATATAGAATAATCATTGACTCATCCTAGTGAGCTAGCTAGGGGGTCAAACAAATCTCAGCAGAGGAAACAGAATCCTAGACACATTCCTGGGACTAAAAGTGAAAGTAGTCACATCACCACCCCTTGCATCCTGCAGAATAGACACGTGTTGAACCTTGACAAAGGAAATGTGGGGATGTCCTCAGCAATGGGGAAATCACTGGAGAACCTACAGAAATGCCCATCAAAGTGTTATCTTAAAGCCAGCTGTTGTATTCAAGCTGATGGAGGATGAAAAGAAGCATAGGCAGAGATAAAGGGAAAAAGCCAACCTAGCTTCCTTTATCACATGACAGTCTTCCTGCCAGCCACGGGCAGAGCTGCAGGAGGGGAGAAGCATCAACTTTAAATCACCTTCAGGGCTTTGATAATTACATGAGGCCAGAAATTTTCATCATTGAACTGATACTGTGTTTTGTGACTTAAAGTCATTGTAGAATTTTATTAGAGTGACCAGAAAAGTCATGGACTAAGTTTTCATGTAGGAGCAGAAAAAAGACTAGCCCCATGAGTGTATTTAAAAGATAATGGGAGACATGATTTAAATTGTTTATAATTATATTCTACCAGATGTGCTTCTTCAAATTCTAAAATGAGAACAATGATAGCATCCAATCCACAGAATTGCTGTGACAAATTCCCTCACTGCCTAGCAAATAATGAACACTTTTAATTCATGTTATTTCTATCACTTTGCTTTTACCATTGATGACATATCTTCTAGATCAGTGCTACCAAATGAACTTCTTCTCTAACAGAAATATTCCCTGCACTGTCCAATAGGTAGCCACTAGCCACATGTAGCTATTGAGAACTTGAAATGTAGTTAGTGCAACTGAGGTACTGAATATTTAATTTTACTTAATTTTAATTCATTTACATGTAAATATAAATAGCTGCCTGTGGCTCATGGCTACCATAATGAACTGCTTAGATATAGACTTTGTATAATAAAGAAAAACAATATGGGACAGAGAAGTTAATTGTAAATTCAAGTCCATGTCCATCCAACAAGGAAGACCTTTCCAAAACAAATTATTGTTTTTATTAATGTAAGCAATAATGCCAGAAAAACCTAAGAATGAATCAGAAACAAGTAGAGGTTGAAGTAGGGAAGGAAAATTGTGATTTACACACAGATTTCAACATGAATGAAAACATACTCATGTTGAAATCTGCACATACTAAAACATATTCACACTAACTTTTTGACATCCAGTCTGGTTCATTAGCAATGATAATAAATTGCTTACAGGATTTAATCTAGCCATTTCCTAATGATGCAGATTGTCAAACATAGACAGTATCTTAATAAGAGAAGGTTTATTATCTATTCCCCTTGAATCTTATGAAAAAAAAATGTGACCGTCTGGTTAGAATATGCCAGTACAAACCTGTGAAAGATTCAGTGCAGTTCCACTGTGATGCTGGAGGGTTATAACCTGATGAAGGAAAGGTCATCTTGCTTCTGGTAAATCTCAAGAAGACAGTTTGCTTTAGTGAGGCAGGCAAAAGGAAAGCCCTGAGGGGTAAGAAGCTAGAGCCAGCAGGCCTCCAAATTGCAGTATGCCGACTGGAAGGCAAGACTAGAGCACATTTAGCATTATACTCAAGCTATGGCAGGTGTCGGGGGAAAGTCTTACCTAAAATTAGGCAAGTCTGGCCTCGGCCTAATGCAATGTAGTGCCAAACAGCTGTGTAAAGTAGTGTT